GGTTTTCTCCCGCGGCACGACGCCAGCCCAGGCAGAAGACGCTGGACTCGTGGCGGTCAGTCTGGGAGAGTGCCGCTGGGCACAAGTCGCAGATCCGCAGCCTGACACCGGAGGGTGGCAAGTTCTCAGGCGCGGGGATCTTGCTTGAAGACATCCTAACAAATGAATCGAAGCTTCTCTTAGGCAAGCTGAGAGAGAAAGGAGAAGAGCTGTGGTGCATGGCCCTATTTATAGGGGACTGGCCTACGCCAGGACGTGAAGGTGATTGGAGGGTGGATCGTTTGATCTTCTCAGGGTGGGAAGCGATGCTTCCGAGAGATATGCATTAGCGAAGCCTAAAGGGCGAAGCAACATATGAAATAGAATCGGTGCGTCTTGAGGAGATAACAGCTGCGCGGTGCGCCCTTTCAATGAAAATTTCCTCTTGGATATTTAGCTGCTCACGGATTAACTTTTTAATAAATTCCACCATATTTTCACCTTCCGCTTTCTCCGGTACAGCGTAGATTCGTAGGTTTTTTCTTCTTGAACGGCTTTCCAAGTCTTCACATTTCTCCTCTATTTGCTTTTGTTTGCGCATCATATGAAAGAGCACTTTAGTGAGCTCTATGCTCTTATCCTCACTGTGCGCAATCCTCTGTTCAGCCTCGTCCATTCTTATTTTTAAATGATCAAAGTTCTGTTTTAGGTCAGTAACCTCTTTTTTCAGATCCGCAAAGTTCCCTGATGTTTCATTTCGAAATTGCCTGAGTTCTTTAAGGATTTCTGAGATTTCTCCTGCGTTATCAGACATTTTCTCAGGCTCTTCCGCATCCAACCCAGTGTCTTGCGCTGACCTGGGTTCCGACTGTTCGCTTCGCTTCTGACTCCTTCCCTTCTTCATTCTTTCACTCAAATGTATAGAACTTGTCATATATTGTAATGTTACACACAACATATACATAGTTCCCACATGACGTCACTACATACGGGGATTTGCCGACCCGGCGCCATTTGTCTTGGCATTCTGTGGGCCAAAAAATAGAAAAAGAAGCTGAAACGTGTGATAAAGTTGAAAATGGTCGTCTCCTGCTGGGTCAATGGATGTTCTAATCGTGCCGGAGGTTCAGTTAAACTTGGATTTTACAGTATACCCATCATTAGACTTCATGAATGTGAGAAGACTAAGCTTTTGTCAGAACAACCACGGAGGTTATGGCTTGCGAAGATAAACAGGCAAGAAACTCCCTCAAAACACGCAAGAATATGCTCGGAGCACTTTGTGTCAGGTGCGTATCGTATCTTATAATGTGTTGACAGACGTAATTTACTCAGTACTAACTTGTGTATGCTGATAGCTGGTAACTTGAGAGTTTCATTATTTAGCGTTAGATTACTTTATTATGAGGAGGATCGGTGTCGCGTCCGAGGCTCTCGAGAGCAACGTAAATGTATTAAATAGATAATAATAGTTCTATGGTGGGCTAAAACAATGTTCACAACAGCATTGCTTCTGTAAAAAGATCTGTGTCATAAAATAAACTGCTCTTTACGCCTGGAAAACTCAGTTGCCCACCATTCACCAAAACATACGGTCAAAAACGCGGAAATAAACAATAACAGCAATCCAGAGTGTCCGTGTGGCATTAGCATTAATTAAATTAATTGTTAATATAATTAAAATAATTAAATGGAGCTCCAACTGGTATTAAATCTAAAGTTTTTGAGAAATGTTTGCATTGCTTGTTAATTTTTGCTGCATAATTTGATCAAATATGTAAAACATGTCCGTAGCACGTTAAACTGTGGTGCCATTGTATTAATATACAATTATTTGCTCAAAAGTTGCCCTTTTTTTCCAATTTGCGTTTGAATATCTACATTTATTCTCATTCTTCTGTTTAATGGAATGCACAAACACAGCAGCGTGCCATCAAAGATGGCGTCTCCGAGGAGGTCATGTGACATTCATTGGTCTGTGGGAACTATGTATAGAAAAATCAACAACTGTCACACAAAACACTGAATGGAGAAAGGGGTAGGAGTTTATAAGTCCCCACTTCTTCCTACTCCTTTTTGAGCACTTTCAAGCACTCAGCACTGATGTATGTGCTTATTTGTTACAACATTATTCTGTATATATGTATGTAACATGTTCATACTAAGATTGCTCAAATAAATAAAATAAACTAAACTAAACTAAACTAGACTTTAAATTCATTTACTGTCCTCAAAATCTGATTGAGCACAGAACAAGTAGTGGGAGAGAGGTGTAGGGTCGGTGAGTGTTTGGGCCTGTGTGTTGTCAAAGTGTGTGTGTGTGTGTGTGTTGCCTATCTTATACCAACTCTGTTTGACCTGTTTTGAGTTTTCGCAGGTTGAGCTCCCAGTAACTGCCGACGATGCCACATGAATGTAGTTGATTTGCAACATTACCTAATAATAACACCTATAATCGACTGCGTAAATGAGGACAGTAATCAAAGAGGAGGGATATTTCATGTGAGTAAGCTCAATTATGCTGCAAACCTTGACCAAAGAAGGTGTTTCATTTCTGGCCTGGTGATTATCTATAATTAACTAAACATACATATACTGCCTCTCACTTGATACAAACCAGATCTCCATAAATGACCTACAAAAAGCCATTTCTGTCGACACTGCGTAGACCGGTGAGTGATTCTTTTTGATTCCAATTTGACGTTTTTGATCGTTGGTGAGTACTTCTTTTGTTTATACACAGGTTTGAAACTCTTATGTGAAAAGAACGCTGAGATGAAAGCTCAAATCATGCCATACTGGGTGAGATATTTAATATATATTACTAGTAAAATACTTTTGAAACAAGTTAGAATCAAATCTGTCTTTTTGTCCAACAGATGGCAATGCTTTTGACGATCTGCTTGCTTATGGGTGAGTAATTCTCTTCTGTTTTGTCAAAAAATTCGCAATTATTTTTTTGAATAAATCAAGACACAAAATTACACAAAATGTAAGCTTATTAACACTCATTATTTATTAAGAGAAAAAGTTTAGTGTTTAATAAAAAGCGTAAAAGAAATTCAATTGAAATCAGTAGGTACAAAAAATGTAAAAAAATAAATAATAATCCTGGATTGCCTGGCCCTAGTTTTATACATCAGCCAATCATTTGCAAATGATTCAAGCTTAGTTCATCACCAGATTTTGTAAAAGTGATTTATACAGTTTTATACGGATTTCTAACATATCACTTGGATTACAGATAAACCAGTTAACAGTATGTTGCTATGGTAACTAGCACTCGCTCTTCTCCCTATTTTTTTCAATTGTATACAATCAAATGGATAGATAACAGTAGAGGTCCTCAAATTTCAATGATAAAAAATATTTTTGTACAGATAAAGACAGAGGAATAAACTACAATTAGAAATAGAAAAAGTCACAAAGCTCGGAAGACCATAAAGGTACATGCTGAGTTATTTCACTTTCAAAACAAAGAAATAAAAACACAAAATTTAAAGCTCAGGGAAGTATTGGTTTTGATAAAGACAGACAGATATTAAAGACTAAGCTAGTAGGAGTTCATAATAAAGATTGTTAAAGATACAATAATTAAATACAAAATAGCAAACAAAAGCTTATGAACCAGGAGCGCCCTCTACTGTCGGACTCTGATCCTGGACCACAAGTCTGTAATAAAGTATCAAATAAATTTAAGAAATAGATTTAAAAAATGAAAAATTAAATTAACATTGTACTGGCCCAGTATCACACAACCCAAGGTCTACAGAGTCCAACGGTTTTAATATCACATGGGAAAGTCTGGCAGGAGGGGGTCAAGTGCGGCTAAAGTGTGGCTCTTGATAGACTGTTAGCACCCCCCAGAAGTAAACATGTGAACAGAGCGTAGGACGGGATGAGATACTACATAGTAACACTTGATGTTCTTTTAACTGTTTGAGCCGAGTTAAAGCTGCACTAACTGACTTTATTTTCGTATTCATTACGAAAGTGCTATCCATGTCCATGCAGTGCATTGGGATATACGTCCTTTTAAGGAAAAAGTAGAGCAGATTTGTACTGGCGTGACATTATATTTTAGATCGAGTTTTGATGAAACAAGGAAGAGAGACCAATCACAGCGCACCACTAGCCCCCACTTTCGTGATAAATCTACAGGTCCCTGTTAGCATAGACGGCTGAGTTAGCACAACAAGCGGCGGAGCTAACCTGAAACTTCACTGGTTACTGCTTACACAGCGAGACAGCCATCCAAAAGAAAGTCTCGTTTCTCCGCGCTTCCCGGTTCTATCGTTCTATAGTCACGCCATCCACGTGAAAATCCATATCCATGGTATATCCATATTGGGAGACGCTAGCTTCGTCCTAACGGTGGGTGTGTGTGAGGGGCGAAAGGTTCGTGGGTGCGGGGAGGGGAGCAGAAAGAGCGAGGCCAGCGAGTCTGCGGCTTCAAAATCCTAAAGTCAGTTAGTGCAGCTTTAACACACAACAAGCATATGTCAAAGTGTTTGTATCCTTGCTCTCTTTTGTTGATTCTGATGATGAAACTGCATTACTAAAGACATTAGTTGAGGCATAAAGTTGGCCTACTCCAAATATCTTAATTTACTTGCAATTAAGTGCAACAATGTGAACCTGCAGGAGCTTGGATCTTGACTGCTACAAACAGATCAGAGTGTGGATCTCTGAAAAGTTTTTACAATGTGTATGCATTTTCAGGAAGACATATGCACCGTTGCTTTTAGGGCAGTGAGGGTTAATAGAAATTCTGCAGGGGTGTGGAACAATACTGACATTGAAATTGTCATGGGAAAAACAGGTGAAAGAGTAATCGTATATTACAATATTACACCATAAGGGTAAAAAAACAACAACAAAAACAGTTTGAAAGCTGCACATTTCAAGGTCTGAAAAATATTTCTCCAGCAGGGGGCAGCAATGGCAATAACAGCAGAGAGGATAGCATCAATGAAAAGAGCAACGAAAGTGGCAACAACAAAGGGGGAGGCAACAAAAACATGAATGAAAGTGGCAACGACAGAGGAACTCAAGAAAACGGAAGCAATGAAAACACCAACGAAAGTGGCAACATAAAAAGCACTAACAATGAGAGCACCAACAAAAGTGGCACTCAAGAAAGCAACGAGAGCACTAACGAAAGTGGCAACCAAGAAAGTAACGAGAGCACCAACGAAGGTGGCAACCAAGAAAGCAACGAGAGCACCAACGAAAGTGGCACTCAAGAAAGAAACGAGAGCACCAACGAAAGTGGCAATCAAAAAAACAACGAGAGCACCACCAAAAGTGGCAACCAAGAAAGCAACGAGAGCACCAAGGAAAGTGGCAATCAAGAAAGCAACGAGAGCACCAACGAAGTTGGCAACCAAGAAAGCAATGAAAGCAGCAATGAAAGTGGCAAGCAAGAAAGCACTGAGAGCACCAACGAAAGTGGCAACCAAGAAAGCACCGAGAGCACCAACGAAAGTGGAAACCAAGAAAGCAATGAAAGCACCAACAAAAGTGACAACGAAGAAAGCACCGAGAGCACCAACGAAAGTGGCAACCAAAAAAGCAACGAGAGCACCAAAGAAGTTGGCAACCAAGAAAGCAATGAAAGCACTAACGAAAGTGGCATTCAAGAAAGCAACGAGAGCACCAATGAAAGTGGCAACCAAGAAAGCACTGAGAGCACCAACGAAAGTGGCAACCAAGAAAACGATGAAAGCACCAAGGAAAGTGGCAATCAAGAAAGCACCGAGAGAACCAACAAAAGTGGCAACCAAGAAAGCAATGAAAGCACCAACAAAAGTGACAACCAAGAAAGCACCGAGAGCACCAACGAAAGTGGCAACCAAGAAAGCAACGAGAGCACCAAAGAAGTTGGCAACCAAGAAAGCAATGAAAGCACTAACGAAAGTGGCATTCAAGAAAGCAACGAGAGCACCAATAAAAGTGACAACCAAGAAAGCACCGAGAGCACCAACGAAAGTGGCAACCAAGAAAGCAACGAGAGCACCAAGGAAAGTGGCAATCAAGAAAGCAACGAGAGCACCAAAGAAGTTGGCAACCAAGAAAGCAATGAAAGCACTAACGAAAGTGGCATTCAAGAAAGCAACGAGAGCACCAATGAAAGTGGCAACCAAGAAAGCACTGAGAGCACCAACGAAAGTGGCAACCAAGAAAACAATGAAAGCACCAACAAAAGTGACAACCAAGAAAGCACCGAGAGCACCAACGAAAGTGGCAACCAAGAAAGCACCAAGAGCACCAAGGAAAGTGGCAATCAAGAAAGCAACGAGAGCACCAAAGAAGTTGGCAAACAAGAAAGCAATGAAAGCACTAACGAAAGTGGCATTCAAGAAAGCAACGAGAGCACCAATGAAAGTGGCAACCAAGAAAGCACTGAGAGCACCAACGAAAGTGGCAACGAAGAAAGCAGCGAGAGCACCAACGAAAGTGGCAACGAAGAAAGCAATGAAAGCACCAACAAAAGTGGCAACCAAGAAAGCACCAAGAGCACCAATGAAAGTGGCTCTCAAGAAAGCAATGAAAGCACCAACGAAAGTGGCACTCAAGAAAGAAACGAGAGCACCAACGAAAGTGGCAATCAAAAAAACAACGAGAGCACCACCGAAAGTGGCAACCAAGAAAGCAACGAGAGCACCAAGGAAAGTGGCAATCAAGAAAGCAACGAGAGCACCAACGAAGTTGGCAACCAAGAAAGCAATGAAAGCAGCCATGAAAGTGGCAAGCAAGAAAGCACTGAGAGCACCAACGAAAGTGGCAACCAAGAAAGCACCGAGAGCACCAACGAAAGTGGAAACCAAGAAAGCAACGAGAGCACCAACGAAAGTGGCAACCAAGAAAGCAATGAAAGCACCAACAAAAGTGGCAACAAAGAAAGTAAAGAGAGCACCAACGAAAGTGGAAACCAAGAAAGCAACGAGAGCACCAACGAAAGTGGCAACCAAGAAAGCACCGAGAGCATCAACGAAAGTGGCAACCGAGAAAGCAACGAGAGCACCAACGAAAGTGGCACTCAAGAAAGCAATGAAAGCACCAACAAAAGTGGCAACAAAGAAAGCAACGAGAGCACCAAAGAAGTTGGCAAACAAGAAAGCAATGAAAGCACTAACGAAAGTGGCATTCAAGAAAGCAACGAGAGCACCAATGAAAGTGGTAACCAAGAAAGCACTGAGAGCACCAACGAAAGTGGCAACGAAGAAAGCAGCGAGAGCACCAACGAAAGTGGCAACGAAGAAAGCAATGAAAGCACCAACAAAAGTGGCAACCAAGAAAGCACCAAGAGCACCAACGAAAGTGGCAACCAAGAAAGCACCGAGAGCACCAATGAAAGTGGCTCTCAAGAAAGCAATGAAAGCACCAACGAAAGTGGCACTCAAGAAAGAAACGAGAGCACCAACGAAAGTGGCAATCAAAAAAACAACGAGAGCACCACCGAAAGTGGCAACCAAGAAAGCAACAAGAGCACCAAGGAAAGTGGCAATCAAGAAAGCAACGAGAGCACCAACGAAGTTGGCAACCAAGAAAGCAATGAAAGCAGCCATGAAAGTGGCAAGCAAGAAAGCACTGAGAGCACCAACGAAAGTGGCAACCAAGAAAGCAACGAGAGCACCAACGAAAGTGGCAACCAAGAAAGCAATGAAAGCACCAACGAAAGTGGCACTCAAGAAAGCAATGAAAGCACCAACGAAAGTGGCAACAAAGAAAGCAACGAGAGCACCAACAAAAGTGGTAACCAAGAAAGCAACGAGAGCACCAACGAAAGTGGCAACCAAGAAAGCAATGAAAGCACCAACGAAAGTGGCACTCAAGAAAGCAACGAGAGCACCAACAAAAGTGGCACTCAAGAAAGCAATGAAAGCACCAACAAAAGTGGCAACAAAGAAAGCACCGAGAGCACCAACGAAAGTGGCAACCAAGAAAGCAACGAGAGCACCAACGAAAGTGCCACTCAAGAAAGCAACGAGAGCACCAACGAAAGTGGCACTCAAGAAAGCAATGAAAGCACCAACAAAAGTGGCAACAAAGAAAGTAAAGAGAGCACCAACGAAAGTGGAAACCAAGAAAGCAACGAGAGCACCAACGAAAGTGGCAACCAAGAAAGCACCGAGAGCATCAACGAAAGTGGCAACCGAGAAAGCAACGAGAGCACCAACGAAAGTGGCACTCAAGAAAGCAATGAAAGCACCAACAAAAGTGGCAACAAAGAAAGCAACGAGAGCACCAACAAAAGTGGTAACCAAGAAAGCAACGAGAGCACCAACGAAAGTGGCAACCAAGAAAGCAATGAAAGCACCAACGAAAGTGGCAACCAAGAAAGCAATGAAAGCACCAACGAAAGTGGCACTCAAGAAAGCAACGAGAGCACCAACAAAAGTGGCACTCAAGAAAGCAATGAAAGCACCACAAATGGCAACAAAGAAGCAACGAGAGCACCAACAAAAGTGGTAACCAAGAAAGCAACGAGAGCACCAACGAAAGTGGCAACCAAGAAAGCAATGAAAGCACCAACGAAAGTGGCACTCAAGAAAGCAACGAGAGCACCAACAAAAGTGGCACTCAAGAAAGTAAAGAGAGCACCAACGAAAGTGGAAACCAAGAAAGCAACGAGAGCACTAACGAAAGTGGCAACCAAGAAAGCACCGAGAGCATCAACGAAAGTGGCAACCGAGAAAGCAACGAGAGCACCAACGAAAGTGGCACTCAAGAAAGCAATGAAAGCACCAACAAAAGTGGCAACAAAGAAAGCAACGAGAGCACCAACAAAAGTGGTAACCAAGAAAGCAACGAGAGCACCAACGAAAGTGGCAACCAAGAAAGCAATGAGAGCACCAACGAAAGTGGCACTCAAGAAAGCACCAAGAGCACCAACAAAAGTGGCACTCAAGAAAGCAATGAAAGCACCAACAAAAGTGGCAACAAAGAAAGCAACGAGAGCACCAACAAAAGTGGTAACCAAGAAAGCAACGAGAGCACCAACGAAAGTGGCAACCAAGAAAGCAATAAAAGCACCAACGAAAGTGGCACTCAAGAAAGCAACGAGAGCACCAACAAAAGTGGCACTCAAGAAAGCAATGAAAGCACCAACAAAAGTGGCAACAAAGAAAGCAACGAGAGCACCAACGAAAGTGGCAACCAAGAAAGCACCGAGAGCATCAACGAAATTGGCAACCGAGAAAGCAACGAGAGCACCAACGAAAGTGGCACTCAAGAAAGCAATGAAAGCACTAATGAAAGTGGCATTCAAGAAAGCAACGAGAGCACCAACAAAAGAGACACTCCAGAAAGCAATGAAAACACCAACGAAAGTGGCACTCAAGAAAGCAACGAGAGCACCAACGAAAGTGCCACTCAAGAAAGCAACGAGAGCACCAACGAAAGTGGCACTCAAGAAAGCAATGAAAGCACCAACAAAAGTGGCAACAAAGAAAGTAAAGAGAGCACCAACGAAAGTGGAAACCAAGAAAGCAACGAGAGCACCAACGAAAGTGGCAACCAAGAAAGCACCGAGAGCATCAACGAAAGTGGCAACCGAGAAAGCAACGAGAGCACCAACGAAAGTGGCACTCAAGAAAGCAATGAAAGCACCAACAAAAGTGGCAACAAAGAAAGCAACGAGAGCACCAACAAAAGTGGTAACCAAGAAAGCAACGAGAGCACCAACGAAAGTGGCAACCAAGAAAGCAATGAAAGCACCAACGAAAGTGGCACTCAAGAAAGCAATGAAAGCACCAACGAAAGTGGCAACAAAGAAAGCAACGAGAGCACCAACAAAAGTGGTAACCAAGAAAGCAACGAGAGCACCTACGAAAGTGGCAACCAAGAAAGCAATGAAAGCACCAACGAAAGTGGCACTCAAGAAAGCAACGAGAGCACCAACAAAAGTGGCACTCAAGAAAGCAATGAAAGCACCAACAAAAGTGGCAACAAAGAAAGCACCGAGAGCACCAACGAAAGTGGCAACCAAGAAAGCAACGAGAGCACCAACGAAAGTGCCACTCAAGAAAGCAACGAGAGCACCAACGAAAGTGGCACTCAAGAAAGCAATGAAAGCACCAACAAAAGTGGCAACAAAGAAAGTAAAGAGAGCACCAACGAAAGTGGAAACCAAGAAAGCAACGAGAGCACCAACGAAAGTGGCAACCAAGAAAGCACCGAGAGCATCAACGAAAGTGGCAACCGAGAAAGCAACGAGAGCACCAACGAAAGTGGCACTCAAGAAAGCAATGAAAGCACCAACAAAAGTGGCAACAAAGAAAGCAACGAGAGCACCAACAAAAGTGGTAACCAAGAAAGCAACGAGAGCACCAACGAAAGTGGCAACCAAGAAAGCAATGAAAGCACCAACGAAAGTGGCAACCAAGAAAGCAATGAAAGCACCAACGAAAGTGGCACTCAAGAAAGCAACGAGAGCACCAACAAAAGTGGCACTCAAGAAAGCAATGAAAGCACCAACAAAAATGGCAACAAAGAAAGCAACGAGAGCACCAACAAAAGTGGTAACCAAGAAAGCAACGAGAGCACCTACGAAAGTGGCAACCAAGAAAGCAATGAAAGCACCAACGAAAGTGGCACTCAAGAAAGCAACGAGAGCACCAACAAAAGTGGCACTCAAGAAAGCAATGAAAGCACCAACAAAAGTGGCAACAAAGAAAGCACCGAGAGCACCAACGAAAGTGGCAACCAAGAAAGCAACGAGAGCACCAACGAAAGTGCCACTCAAGAAAGCAACGAGAGCACCAACGAAAGTGGCACTCAAGAAAGCAATGAAAGCACCAACAAAAGTGGCAACAAAGAAAGTAAAGAGAGCACCAACGAAAGTGGAAACCAAGAAAGCAACGAGAGCACCAACAAAAGTGGCAACCAAGAAAGCACCGAGAGCATCAACGAAAGTGGCAACCGAGAAAGCAACGAGAGCACCAACGAAAGTGGCACTCAAGAAAGCAATGAAAGCACCAACAAAAGTGGCAACAAAGAAAGCAACGAGAGCACCAACAAAAGTGGTAACCAAGAAAGCAACGAGAGCACCAACGAAAGTGGCAACCAAGAAAGCAATGAAAGCACCAACGAAAGTGGCACTCAAGAAAGCAACGAGAGCACCAACAAAAGTGGCACTCAAGAAAGCAATGAAAGCACCAACAAAAGTGGCAACAAAGAAAGCAACGAGAGCACCAACAAAAGTGGTAACCAAGAAAGCAACGAGAGCACCAACGAAAGTGGCAACCAAGAAAGCAATGAAAGCACCAACGAAAGTGGCACTCAAGAAAGCAACGAGAGCACCAATGAAAGTGGCAACCAAGAAAGCACTGAGAGCACCAAGGAAAGTGGCAACCAAGAAAACAATGAAAGCACCAACAAAAGTGACAACCAAGAAAGCACCGAGAGCACCAACGAAAGTGGCAACCAAGAAAGCAACGAGAGCACCAAGGAAAGTGGCATTCAAGAAAGCAACGAGAGCACCAATGAAAGTGGCAACCAAGAAAGCACTGAGAGCACCAACGAAAGTGGCAACGAAGAAAGCAGCGAGAGCACCAACGAAAGTGGCAACGAAGAAAGCAATGAAAGCACCAACAAAAGTGGCAACCAAGAAAGCACCAAGAGCACCAACGAAAGTGGCAACCAAGAAAGCACCGAGAGCACCAATGAAAGTGGCTCTCAAGAAAGCAATGAAAGCACCAACGAAAGTGGCACTCAAGAAAGAAACGAGAGCACCAACAAAAGTGGCAATCAAAAAAACAACGAGAGCACCACCGAAAGTGGCAACCAAGAAAGCAACGAGAGCACCAAGGAAAGTGGCAATCAAGAAAGCAACGAGAGCACCAACGAAGTTGGCAACCAAGAAAGCAATGAAAGCAGCCATGAAAGTGGCAAGCAAGAAAGCACTGAGAGCACCAACGAAAGTGGAAACCAAGAAAGCAACGAGAGCACCAACGAAAGTGGCAACCAAGAAAGCAATGAAAGCACCAACAAAAGTGGCAACAAAGAAAGTAAAGAGAGCACCAACGAAAGTGGAAACCAAGAAAGCAACGAGAGCACCAACGAAAGTGGCAACCAAGAAAGCACCGAGAGCATCAACGAAAGTGGCAACCGAGAAAGCAACGAGAGCACCAACGAAAGTGGCACTCAAGAAAGCAATGAAAGCACCAACAAAAGTGGCAACAAAGAAAGCAACGAGAGCACCAACAAAAGTGGTAACCAAGAAAGCAACGAGAGCACCAACGAAAGTGGCAACCAAGAAAGCAATGAAAGCACCAACGAAAGTGGCACTCAAGAAAGCAACGAGAGCACCAACAAAAGTGGCACTCAAGAAAGCAATGAAAGCACCAACAAAAGTGGCAACAAAGAAAGCAACGAGAGCACCAACGAAAGTGGCACTCAAGAAAGCAACGAGAGCACCAACAAAAGTGGCACTCAAGAAAGCAATGAAAGCACCAACAAAAGTGGCAACAAAGAAAGCAACGAGAGCACCAACGAAAGTGGCACTCAAGAAAGAAACGAGAGCACCAACGAAAGTGGCAATCAAAAAAACAACGAGAGCACCACCGAAAGTGGCAACCAAGAAAGCAACGAGAGCACCAAGGAAAGTGGCAATCAAGAAAGCAACGAGAGCACCAACGAAGTTGGCAACCAAGAAAGCAATGAAAGCAGCCATGAAAGCGGCAAGCAAGAAAGCACTGAGAGCACCAACGAAAGTGGCAACCAAGAAAGCACCGAGAGCACCAACGAAAGTGGAAACCAAGAAAGCAACGAGAGCACCAACGAAAGTGGCAACCAAGAAAGCAATGAAAGCACCAACAAAAGTGGCAACAAAGAAAGTAAAGAGAGCACCAACGAAAGTGGAAACCAAGAAAGCAACGAGAGCACCAACGAAAGTGGCAACCAAGAAAGCAATGAAAGCACCAACGAAAGTGGCACTCAAGAAAGCAACGAGAGCACCAATGAAAGTGGCAACCAAGAAAGCACTGAGAGCACCAAGGAAAGTGGCAACCAAGAAAACAATGAAAGCACCAACAAAAGTGACAACCAAGAAAGCACCGAGAGCACCAACGAAAGTGGCAACCAAGAAAGCAACGAGAGCACCAAGGAAAGTGGCATTCAAGAAAGCAACGAGAGCACCAATGAAAGTGGCAACCAAGAAAGCACTGAGAGCACCAACGAAAGTGGCAACGAAGAAAGCAGCGAGAGCACCAACGAAAGTGGCAACGAAGAAAGCAATGAAAGCACCAACAAAAGTGGCAACCAAGAAAGCACCAAGAGCACCAACGAAAGTGGCAACCAAGAAAGCACCGAGAGCACCAACGAAAGTGGCTCTCAAGAAAGCAATGAAAGCACCAACGAAAGTGGCACTCAAGAAAGAAACGAGAGCACCAACGAAAGTGGCAATCAAAAAAACAACGAGAGCACCACGGAAAGTGGCAACCAAGAAAGCAACGAGAGCACCAAGGAAAGTGGCAATCAAGAAAGCAACGAGAGCACCAACGAAGTTGGCAACCAAGAAAGCAATGAAAGCAGCCATGAAAGTGGCAAGCAAGAAAGCACTGAGAGCACCAACGAAAGTGGAAACCAAGAAAGCAACGAGAGCACCAACGAAAGTGGCAACCAAGAAAGCAATGAAAGCACCAACAAAAGTGGCAACAAAGAAAGTAAAGAGAGCACCAACGAAAGTGGAAACCAAGAAAGCAACGAGAGCACCAACGAAAGTGGCAACCAAGAAAGCACCGAGAGCATCAACGAAAGTGGCAACCGAGAAAGCAACGAGAGCACCAACGAAAGTGGCACTCAAGAAAGCAATGAAAGCACCAACAAAAGTGGCAACAAAGAAAGCAACGAGAGCACCAACAAAAGTGGTAACCAAGAAAGCAACGAGAGCACCAACGAAAGTGGCAACCAAGAAAGCAATGAAAGCACCAACGAAAGTGGCACTCAAGAAAGCAACGAGAGCACCAACAAAAGTGGCACTCAAGAAAGCAATGAAAGCACCAACAAAAGTGGCAACAAAGAAAGCAACGAGAGCACCAACGAAAGTGGCACTCAAGAAAGCAACGAGAGCACCAACAAAAGTGGCACTCAAGAAAGCAATGAAAGCACCAACAAAAGTGGCAACAAAGAAAGCAACGAGAGCACCAACGAAAGTGGCACTCAAGAAAGAAACGAGAGCACCAACGAAAGTGGCAATCAAAAAAACAACGAGAGCACCACCGAAAGTGGCAACCAAGAAAGCAACGAGAGCACCAAGGAAAGTGGCAATCAAGAAAGCAACGAGAGCACCAACGAAGTTGGCAACCAAGAAAGCAATGAAAGCAGCCATGAAAGCGGCAAGCAAGAAAGCACTGAGAGCACCAACGAAAGTGGCAACCAAGAAAGCACCGAGAGCACCAACGAAAGTGGAAACCAAGAAAGCAACGAGAGCACCAACGAAAGTGGCAACCAAGAAAGCAATGAAAGCACCAACAAAAGTGGCAACAAAGAAAGTAAAGAGAGCACCAACGAAAGTGGAAACCAAGAAAGCAACGAGAGCACCAACGAAAGTGGCAACCAAGAAAGCACCGAGAGCATCAACGAAAGTGGCAACCGAGAAAGCAACGAGAGCACCAACGAAAGTGGCACTCAAGAAAGCAATGAAAGCACCAACAAAAGTGGCAACAAAGAAAGCAACGAGAGCACCAACAAAAGTGGTAACCAAGAAAGCAACGAGAGCACCAACGAAAGTGGCAACCAAGAAAGCAATGAAAGCACCAACGAAAGTGGCACTCAAGAAAGCAACGAGAGCACCAACAAAAGTGGCACTCAAGAAAGCAATGAAAGCACCAACAAAAGTGGCAACAAAGAAAGCAACGAGAGCACCAACAAAAGTGGTAACAAAGAAAGCAACGAGAGCACCAACGAAAGTGGCAACCAAGAAAGCAATGAAAGCACCAACGAAAGTGGCACTCAAGAAAGCAACGAGAGCACCAACAAAAGTGGCACTCAAGAAAGCAATGAAAGCACCAACAAAAGTGGCAACAAAGAAAGCAACGAGAGCACCAACGGAAGTGGCAACCAAGAAAGCACCGAGAGCATCAACGAAAGTGGCAACCGAGAAAGCAACGAGAGCACCAACGAAAGTGGCACTCAAGAAAGCAATGAAAGCACCAACAAAAGTGGCAACAAAGAAAGCAACGAGAGCACCAACAAAAGTGGTAACCAAGAAAGCAACGAGAGCACCAACGAAAGTGGCAACCAAGAAAGCAATGAAAGCACCAACGAAAGTGGTACTCAAGAAAACAACGAGAGCACCAACAAAAGTGGCACTCAAGAAAGCAATGAAAGCACCAACAAAAGTGGCAACAAAGAAAGCAACGAGAGCACCAACAAAAGTGGTAACCAAGAAAGCAACGAGAGCACCAACGAAAGTGGCAACCAAGAAAGCAATGAAAGCACCAACGAAAGTGGCACTCAAGAAAGCAACGAGAGCACCAACAAAAGTAGTAACCAAGAAAGCAACGAGAGCACCAACGAAAGTGGCAACCAAGAAAGCAATGAAAGCACCAACGAAAGTGGCACTCAAGAAAGCAACGAGAGCACCAACAAAAGTGGCACTCAAGAAAGTAAAGAGAGCACCAACGAAAGTGGAAACCAAGAAAGCAACGAGAGCACTAACGAAAGTGGCAACCAAGAAAGCACCGAGAGCATCAACGAAAGTGGCAACCGAGAAAGCAACGAGAGCACCAACGAAAGTGGCACTCAAGAAAGCAATGAAAGCACCAACAAAAGTGGCAACAAAGAAAGCAACGAGAGCACCAACAAAAGTGGTAACCAAGAAAGCAACGAGAGCACCAACGAAATTGGCAACCAAGAAAGCAATGAGAGCACCAACGAAAGTGGCACTCAAGAAAGCCTCGAGAGCACCAACAAAAGTGGCACTCAAGAAAGCAATGAAAGCACCAACAAAAGTGGCAACAAAGAAAGCAACGAGAGCACCAACAAAAGTGGTAACCAAGAAAGCAACGAGAGCACCAACAAAAGTGGCACTCAAGAAAGCAATAAAAGCACCAACGAAAGTGGCACTCAAGAAAGCAACGAGAGCACCAACAAAAGTGGCACTCAAGAAAGCAATGAAAGCACCAACAAAAGTGGCAACAAAGAAAGCAACGAGAGCACCAACGAAAGTGGCAACCAAGAAAGCACCGAGAGCATCAACGAAATTGGCAACCGAGAAAGCAACGAGAGCACCAACGAAATTGGCACTCAAGAAAGCAATGAAAGCACTAATGAAAGTGGCATTCAAGAAAGCAACGAGAGCACCAACAAAAGAGACACTCCAGAAAGCAATGAAAACACCAACGAAAGTGGCACTCAAGAAAGCAACGAGAGCACCAACGAAAGTGCCACTCAAGAAAGCAACGAGAGCACCAACGAAAGTGGCACTCAAGAAAGCAATGAAAGCACCAACAAAAGTGGCAACAAAGAAAGTAAAGAGAGCACCAACGAAAGTGGAAACCAAGAAAGCAACGAGAGCACCAACGAAAGTGGCAACCAAGAAAGCACCGAGAGCATCAACGAAAGTGGCAACCGAGAAAGCAACGAGAGCACCAACGAAAGTGGCACTCAAGAAAGCAATGAAAGCACCAACAAAAGTGGCAACAAAGAAAGCAACGAGAGCACCAACAAAAGTGGTAACCAAGAAAGCAACGAGAGCACCAACGAAAGTGGCAACCAAGAAAGCAATGAAAGCACCAACGAAAGTGGCAACCAAGAAAGCAACGAGAGCACCAATGAAAGTGGCAACCAAGAAAGCACTGAGAGCACCAACGAAAGTGGCAACCAAGAAAACAATGAAAGCACCAACAAAAGTGACAACCAAGAAAGCACCGAGAGCACCAACGAAAGTGGCAACCAAGAAAGCACCGAGAGCACCAAGGAAAGTGGCAATCAAGAAAGCAACGAGAGCACCAAAGAAGTTGGCAAACAAGAAAGCAATGAAAGCACTAACGAAAGTGGCATTCAAGAAAGCAACGAGAGCACCAATGAAAGTGGTAACCAAGAAAGCACTGAGAGCACCAACGAAAGTGGCAACGAAGAAAGCAGCGAGAGCACCAACGAAAGTGGCAACGAAGAAAGCAATGAAAGCACCAACAAAAGTGGCAACCAAGAAAGCACCAAGAGCACCAACGAAAGTGGCAACCAAGAAAGCACCGAGAGCACCAATGAAAGTGGCTCTCAAGAAAGCAATGAAAGCACCAACGAAAGTGGCACTCAAGAAAGAAACGAGAGCACCAACGAAAGTGGCAATCAAAAAAACAACGAGAGCACCACCGAAAGTGGCAACCAAGAAAGCAACAAGAGCACCAAGGAAAGTGGCAATCAAGAAAGCAACGAGAGCACCAACGAAGTTGGCAACCAAGAAAGCAATGAAAGCAGCCATGAAAGTGGCAAGCAAGAAAGCACTGAGAGCACCAACGAAAGTGGCAACCAAGAAAGCACCGAGAGCACCAACGAAAGTGGAAACCAAGAAAGCAACGAGAGCACCAACGAAAGTGGCAACCAAGAAAGCAATGAAAGCACCAACAAAAGTGGCAACAAAGAAAGTAAAGAGAGCACCAACGAAAGTGGAAACCAAGAAAGCAACAAGAGCACCAACGAAAGTGGCAACCAAGAAAGCACAGAGAGCATCAACGAAAGTGGCAACCGAGAAAGCAACGAGAGCACCAACGAAAGTGGCACTCAAGAAAGCAATGAGAGCACCAACAAAAGTGGCAACAAAGAAAGCAACGAGAGCACCAACAAAAGTGGTAACCAAGAAAGCAACGAGAGCACCAACGAAAGTGGCAACCAAGAAAGCAATGAAAGCACCAACGAAAGTGGCACTCAAGAAAACAACGAGAGCACCAACAAAAGTAGCACTCAAGAAAGCAATGAAAGCACCAACAAAAGTGGCAACAAAGAAAGCAACGAGAGCACCAACAAAAGTGGTAACCAAGAAAGCAACGAGAGCACCAACGAAAGTGGCAACCAAGAAAGCAATGAAAGCACCAACGAAAGTGGCACTCAAGAAAGCAACGAGAGCACCAACAAAAGTGGTAACCAAGAAAGCAACGAGAGCACCAACGAAAGTGGCAACCAAGAAAGCAATGAAAGCACCAACGAAAGTGGCACTCAAGAAAGCAACGAGAGCACCAACAAAAGTGGCACTCAAGAAAGTAAAGAAGAGCACCAACGAAAGTGGAAACCAAGAAAGCAACGAGAGCACTAACGAAAGTGGCAACCAAGAAAGCACCGAGAGCATCAACGAAAGTGGCAACCGAGAAAGCAACGAGAGCACCAACGAAAGTGGCACTCAAGAAAGCAATGAAAGCACCAACAAAAGTGGCAACAAAGAAAGCAACGAGAGCACCAACAAAAGTGGTAACCAAGAAAGCAACGAGAGCACCAACGAAAGTGGCAACCAAGAAAGAATGAGAGCACCAACGAAAGTGGCACTCAAGAAAGCACCGAGAGCACCAACAAAAGTGGCACTCAAGAAAGCAATGAAAGCACCAACAAAAGTGGCAACAAAGAAAGCAACGAGAGCACCAACAAAAGTGGTAACCAAGAAAGCAACGAGAGCACCAACGAAAGTGGCAACCAAGAAAGCAATAAAAGCACCAACGAAAGTGGCACTCAAGAAAGCAACGAGAGCACCAACAAAAGTGGCACTCAAGAAAGCAATGAAAGCACCAACAAAAGTGGCAACAAAGAAAGCAACGAGAGCACCAACGAAAGTGGCAACCAAGAAAGCACCGAGAGCATCAACGAAATTGGCAACCGAGAAAGCAACGAGAGCACCAACGAAAGTGGCACTCAAGAAAGCAATGAAAGCACTAATGAAAGTGGCATTCAAGAAAGCAACGAGAGCACCAACAAAAGAGACACTCCAGAAAGCAATGAAAACACCAACGAAAGTGGCACTCAAGAAAGCAACGAGAGCACCAACGAAAGTGCCACTCAAGAAAGCAACGAGAGCACCAACGAAAGTGGCACTCAAGAAAGCAATGAAAGCACCAACAAAAGTGGCAACAAAGAAAGTAAAGAGAGCACCAACGAAAGTGGAAACCAAGAAAGCAACGAGAGCACCAACGAAAGTGGCAACCAAGAAAGCACCGAGAGCAACAACGAAAGTGGCAACCGAGAAAGCAACGAGAGCACCAACGAAAGTGGCACTCAAGAAAGCAATGAAAGCACCAACAAAAGTGGCAACAAAGAAAGCAACGAGAGCACCAACAAAAGTGGTAAACAAGAAAGCAACGAGAGCACCAACGAAAGTGGCAACCAAGAAAGCAATGAAAGCACCAATGAAAGTGGCACTCAAGAAAGCAATGAGAGCACCAACAAAAGTGGCACTCAAGAAAGCAATGAAAGCACCAACAAAAGTGGCAACAAAGAAAGCAACGAGAGCACCAACAAAAGTGGTAACCAAGAAAGCAACGAGAGCACCTACGAAAGTGGCAACCAAGAAAGCAATGAAAGCACCAACGAAAGTGGCACTCAAGAAAGCAACGAGAGCACCAACAAAAGTGGCACTCAAGAAAGCAATGAAAGCACCAACAAAAGTGGCAACAAAGAAAGCACCGAGAGCACCAACGAAAGTGGCAACCAAGAAAGCAACGAGAGCACCAACGAAAGTGCCACTCAAGAAAGCAACGAGAGCACCAACGAAAGTGGCACTCAAGAAAGCAATGAAAGCACCAACAAAAGTGGCAACAAAGAAAGCAACGAGAGCACCAACAAAAGTGGTAACCAAGAAAGCAACGAGAGCACCAACGAAAGTGGCAACCAAGAAAGCAATGAAAGCACCAACGAAAGTGGCAACCAAGAAAGCAACGAGAGCACCAACAAAAGTGGCACTCAAGAAAGCAATGAAAGCACCAACAAAAGTGGCAACAAAGAAAGCAACGAGAGCACCAACAAAAGTGGTAACCAAGAAAGCAACGAGAGCACCTACGAAAGTGGCAACCAAGAAAGCAATGAAAGCACCAACGAAAGTGGCACTCAAGAAAGCAACGAGAGCACCAACAAAAGTGGCACTCAAGAAAGCAATGAAAGCACCAACAAAAGTGGCAACAAAGAAAGCACCGAGAGCACCAACGAAAGTGGCAACCAAGAAAGCAACGAGAGCACCAACGAAAGTGCCACTCAAGAAAGCAACGAGAGCACCAACGAAAGTGGCACTCAAGAAAGCAATGAAAGCACCAACAAAAGTGGCAACAAAGAAAGTAAAGAGAGCACCAACGAAAGTGGAAACCAAAAAGCAACGAGAGCACCAACGAAAGTGGCAACCAAGAAAGCACCGAGAGCATCAACGAAAGTGGCAACCGAGAAAGCAACGAGAGCACCAACGAAAGTGGCACTCAAGAAAGCAATGAAAGCACCAACAAAAGTGGCAACAAAGAAAGCAACGAGAGCACCAACAAAAGTGGTAACCAAGAAAGCAACGAGAGCACCAACGAAAGTGGCAACCAAGAAAGCAATGAAAGCACCAACGAAAGTGGCACTCAAGAAAGCAACGAGAGCACCAACAAAAGTGGCACTCAAGAAAGCAATGAAAGCACCAACAAAAGTGGCAACAAAGAAAGCACCGAGAGCACCAACGAAAGTGGCAACCAAGAAAGCAACGAGAGCACCAACGAAAGTGCCACTCAAGAAAGCAACGAGAGCACCAACGAAAGTGGCACTCAAGAAAGAAATGAAAGCACCAACAAAAGTGGCAACAAAGAAAGTAAAGAGAGCACCAACGAAAGTGGAAACCAAGAAAGCAACGAGAGCACCAACGAAAGTGGCAACCAAGAAAGCACCGAGAGCATCAACGAAAGTGGCAACCGAGAAAGCAACGAGAGCACCAACGAAAGTGGCACTCAAGAAAGCAATGAAAGCACCAACAAAAGTGGCAACAAAGAAAGCAACGAGAGCACCAACAAAAGTGGTAACCAAGAAAGCAAAGAGAGCACCAACGAAAGTGGCAACCAAGAAAGCAATGAAAGCACCAACGAAAGTGGCACTCAAGAAAGCAACGAGAGCACCAACAAAAGTGGCACTCAAGAAAGAAATGAAAGCACCAACAAAAGTGGCAACAAAGAAAGCAACGAGAGCACCAACAAAAGTGGTAACCAAGAAAGCAACGAGAGCACCAACGAAAGTGGCAACCAAGAAAGCAATGAAAGCACCAACGAAAGTGGCACTCAAGAAAGCAACGAGAGCACCAACAAAAGTGGCACTCAAGAAAGCAATGAAAGCACCAACAAAAGTGGCAACAAAGAAAGCACCGAGAGCACCAACGAAAGTGGCAACCAAGAAAGCAACGAGAGCACCAACGAAAGTGGCACTCAAGAAAGCACTGAGAGTACCAACGAAAGTGGCAACAAAGAAAGCACCGAGAGCACCAACGAAAGTGGCAACCAGGAAAGCATTGAGAGCACCAACGAAAGTGGCACTAAAGAAAGCAACGAGAGCACCAACGAAAGTGGCAACCAGGAAAGCATTGAGAGCACCAACGAAAGTGGCACTAAAGAAAGCAACGAGAGCACCAACGAAAGTGGCAACCAAGAAAGCAACGAGAGCACCAATGAAAGTGGCAACCAAGAAAGCAACGAGAGCACCAATGAAAGTGGCACTAAAGAAAGCAACAAGAGCACCAACGAAAGTGGCAACCAAGAAAGCAACGAGAGCACCAACGAAGTTGGCATTCAAGAAAGCAATGAAAGCACTAACGAAAGTGCCATTCACGAAAGCAACGAGAGCACCAACGAAAGTGGCACTCAAGAAAGCAATGAAAGCACCAACGAAAGTGGCACTCAAGAAAGCAACGAGAGCACCAACAAAAGTGGCACTCAAGAAAGCAACGAGAGCACCAACGAAAGTGCCAACCAAGAAAGCAACGAGAACACAAATGAAAGTGGCACTCAAGAAAGCAACGAGAGCACCAACGAAGGTGGCAACCAAGAAAGCAACAAGAGCATCAACGAAAGTGGCAACCGAGAAAGCAACGAGAGCACCAACGAAAGTGGCACTCAAGAAAGCAATGAAAGCACCAACGATAGTGGCAACAAAGAAAGCAACGAGAGCACCAATGAAAGTGGCGACCAAGAAAGCAACGAGAGCACCAACGAAATTGGCAACCAAGAAAGCAATGAAAGCACTAACGAAAGTGGCACTCAAGAAAGCAACGAGAGCACCAACGAAAGTGGAACTCAAGAAAGAAACGAGAGCACCAACAATAGTGGCAACCAAGAGAGCAACGAGAGCACCAATAAAAGTGGCAACCAAGAAAGCAATGACAGCACTAACAAACGTGGCACTCAAGAAAGCAACGAGAGCGCCAATGAAAGTGGCAACCAAGAAAGTAAAGAGAGCACCAACGAAAGTGGAAACCAAGAAAGCAATGAAAGTACCAACAAAAGTGGCACTCAAGAAAGCAATGAAAGCACCAGAGAAAGTGGCAACAAAGAAAGCAACAAGAGCACCAACGAAAGTGCCAACCAAGAAAGCAACGAGAGCACCAACGAAAGTGGCACTAAAGAAAGCAACAAGAGCACCAACGAAAGTGGCAACCAAGAAAGCAACGAGAGCATCAACGAAAGTGGCAACCGAGAAAGGAACGAGAGCACCAATGAAAGTGGCAACCAAGAGGGTAGCAAGAGCACAGTTGAAACCACAAGAGATGAAAGCTGTGAAGAAGATGGACCAGCTGACACTGGTGAGGCTTTTACTTTAGTTCTTTTCAGTTAATAACAAGATTTTGCATCTTCATCCTTCGTTTGTTTATGACATGTGTTTCTGATAAAGGTTGTTGGACTGAGTGGTTTGACAGAGATGATCCAACTGACACAGGAGACTGGGAAACTCTTGAAAATCTGTACATTGAAAATCCTGGAAAGATCTGCAATGAGCCCCTTTGGATTGAAGCAAAGACAACATCAGATATGAGCCCGGATTCAGTTGGAAATCTCGTCGTCAAGTAACTCTTCACTGTTTACTGTTACTGAAAAAAAAAACATTCCTGTTTATATGTTTGTGTATGTTTGATCCTGCAGGAACAACCCTGTGTCTGGCTTTGTTTGTTTGAATAAAGATCAGAAAGGCTGCAAATGCCACGATTACAAAGTCCGCTTCATGTGTCCTGTAGAATTCTGCAGTCAGAAAGGTACTGTAAATATTCGGTCCTATAAATTCTCAAGAGTGGCATTATTGTACATTTATCTGTCTTCATCTGTCAGTGTGCTGGACTCAGTGGTTCAACCGTGACAACCCCAATGGGATCGGAGATTGGGAGATTCTTAGCAACTTGAGAAAAGAGAATCCAGGAGAAATATGCGAAAGTCCTCTGTACATTGATGTCAAGTCTGTGAACACAAATACTCCTGCTGATTACACTGGGCAAACATTTTTCAAGTGAGTTTTCAAATACATTTAATTGTGTTGTACTGTATCTATCCGGCTAAACTTTAACAGATATAATTTACAATTTATTGTTAATCAACGAATGTCTGATTTTACAATATTGTTCTTTTTCTCATCATTTTAGATACAGTATTACTGAAGGCTTTGTTTGCCTCAACCGAGATCAACAAGGACGCCGCTGCCTCAACTACAAGATCCGCTTTGGCTGCCGCTGCGACGTCGTCTAGACACATGTTACTTCATATAAACTGATTATTTTGTATTTCATCCATGGTTACGGGTAAGCTCAGGGGGACTGCAGAACACTTTCATTCTCAAAATAATTTATATTTATTGATAGAAAGCAGATATTTATTACTTTTTGTTTGATAATCTGCATCATGTATTTATTGAATGTTTGTGATTAACAATTGACATAATGAGTTTGACCAAAATAAAAAGTGTTTTCTTCCCTCATTCTTTGAACAGTCTTTAGAGCGATGGCCCGAATCAAGCACATCCAGTTTAAGTTCCTGTTTAATTATCAACATGCATTTTCGAAAAAAATGATAGTTTTTTTATATGTAATTTTACAATTACATTGAGATAACATGTGACCGAGGAAAGGAATAAATTAATTTATCATAAAACCAAATTACAAGTTGAAAGGTCAGCAACGCCACCTAGGTTGAGGACCTAGGACCTATTTTAAAACACAGGTATAAAATCACTGGAGTGAGCAGTGCAAAATAAACCAGGTGCTACAATAAAAAAGATTTATTACAATAAAAAAATGTTAAAATGAGCAGGCGAGTGCCATAAAACCAGTCAATGCAAGAAGAGATTAAAATGGTCAATTAAAAACAGGTCCCAACGCGTAGCTGGTCAGCCCAGGTTCTTCTAGCGAGCCGGGTCCAGCGAGGCCGAGCTTTTACCACGGACCCTGGAGGCAGAGCACAACCACACAGAAAGCGCACACACACCCCACAGAGTCCCCCCGCCAAAGGCTACTTCATGAACACCACTACTCAATGTGTTAAGATACTTACACGCCAAGGCAGAGCGTCCTCTGCCTTCTGCGGTAGTTCAGCTTCGTGGTGTTCTCTGTGGACTCGTGAGGCGAAGGCGATTACTGTGGTCCAGGTCCCGGTAGTGTGCTGTGCCGCCCCGTGTTCTGCTCTCTCGTATCGCTGCGCTGTGGCTCGTCCCGCGGCGCTGTGGCTCCCGTGCCTTTTCCCTTTCCTTCTTTTTGCGCACGCATTTTTTTGCCATGGGGCCACCAGGCCCGCGCCTGCCGTCCCCCGTCCTGTTCCACTTGTTTTTGCCTTCCTCCGTTCGTGTCTGTCCTCCCAGCACTTTTCAATCTTTATCAATTGTCCTTGATACGCCACAGGTGCGCATTTGACAGACAAGTGGGTGGGGCCTGCACTCACAGCACAGTTAAAAAGAAACTTTACAAAAACGCATGCATTAATAATAAAAACAAAATCATGCAATAAAACAGGTGCATTAAAAGGCCATGTCCCACAAACAGATAACCGTAAATATCAGATGTGATCGAGTGAGTGTCAAAACAACCAGAAAAATGTCCATGAGCTATTAGGTTGAACTTGTTATTTCCAAGATCCTATGCCTGATGGAATGACACAAAATAACAACACTTTTCCAATTTCACGTCGGCAATACAAAACAGCCAAAAATAAATTAATTGAGTGAATTTGACTCCACAATAATGTGAACTAATGGTGATCAACAAAGATCGATTGTGAAAAAAACAAACTGGACCTCTGCTACTTGACTAAATTCAACTCTCTCATTTTTCATCAATTCAACTAACCCAAAAACTCAATTAAGTATTTGTAATGAAACTTTCATCCCCGCTGTGTTCCAACCTCTGATCTTTAATGATCAAAGGAAGTGGAAATGTCTTGATAAAACTCACCAGGAGATGCATTGAAGTACTATGAGGAAGTCTGGACTCTTCCTGCACTTTTTCTTCACTGCATGTTCCTATGTTTCCAAGTCCACGTGACTCTGCGGGATCCTACATGGAACTGAACAAAGCATCACAAAGTGGGGCAGACAATCCAAATACTATGACAAAGCAGAGGAGGAAAGAGCTGGAAAAATGGCCTATATGCAAATCTGCAAAGTGGCAGCTATACAATACAATACAATTTATTCTTGTATAGCCCTAGGTCACAACAGAAGTCATCTCAGAGGACTTAACAAAACCATTGAAATCACCAACACAGGTCAGAGAATCAACAGTTAAAACACATGAAGAATATAAAGCACACACAGAAGAAAATGTCCATACATGTTGTAGAATGCTAAAGTGTCCTGATCATCACCAATCCTTTCTGTTGGACACTAACTGTCCAACAAGACCCTCCTGCATCGACAAGGAAAAACTCTTAAAAAACCCAGTGGGAAAAAGTGAGAAACCTTGGAGGAGAACTAGGGAAACCCACAGGGAGGGAGACCCATATGAGAAAGGGATCCGCTCCTCCGGACGGACAGGCTAATGATCTAGGACCTAAGCTAGCTACAGAACGTGGACCAGTGGCCGCTGAACGTGGACAGGTCCGGTGCAGGACCGAAGCACTCCCAGGCGGGTCGGGCGGGGCAGTCCGCAGGTGTAGATGGAAGAGGCCAGGCTCAGAGATCCCGTCATCGTACCATGAAACAGACAATGGGACAACGGGTGAATAGCAATGAACAAACTACAGTCAGAATCCTAAAAATGCTAAACAGATAAAGTAGGAAGGAGGAGAGGATAGTGCTCAAGTTACCATACTTCTCCCAGCAAACTGACTCCCTATGCAGCTTGACTAACACTCTGAGGAGTTTAACCTTCTCCGAGTCTTACCTTCCTAGCCATATGCTAAACTAAGAGGACTGTTTTAAACCTAGCCTTGAATAAAGAATAACATACAGCATAATATATAACATAATATACAACATAACACAATACATTATTGAATAATATATAACATAATATATAACATAATACAGCATATATATATAATATATACACTACATATTATATATTACCTAATTATATGCTAAATTAAAGTAAAGTGCTTTAAGCCTGGCCTTGAATGTGGAGACCGTATCTGCTTCCTTAACATAAATGGGAAGCTGATTCCACAGTAAAGGAGCTTGGTAGCTAAATGCTCTGCCACCAACAGTGACCTTTGAGACCTTAGGGACCACCAGACGTCTGGCGTTTTGTGAGCGCAACGCTCGACCTGGTTGATACGACACTAACGTGTCTTGGAGATACTGTAAGAGGGAGCCAAGCCATTTATGGCTTTATATGTTAAGAGTAGGATTTTAAACTTTATTCTGTACTCCACAGGGAGCCAGTGGAGTGATTTTAACACCGGAGTTATGTGCTCCCTCCTTTTGGTACCTGTTAAGATCCTAGCTGCTGTATTCTGAACGAGCTGGAAGCTCTTCAAAGAGGCTTTAGGGCACGCTGCCAGTAAAGCGTTACAGTAGTCGAGCCTTGAGGTGACAAACGCGTGAATGAGTTTTTCCGCGTCACTTTTAGGAAGGAAATTCCTAATTTTAGCGATGTTCCGTAAGTGGAAGTACGCCGTTTTAGTTGCTTGGCTTATATAAGCCTTGAAGGAGAGTTCTTGGTCAAAAATGACTCCAAGATTCCTCACAGTGTTACTGGGTATTATACTGACATTATCGAGAGTAACCATCTGGTTAGTGAGGGAGTCACGCAGGCGCTTCGGACCGAGTAGGATCACTTCTGTCTTCTCCGGGTTGAGAAGTAGGAAGTTAAGAGTCATCCACATTTTAAGGTCCTTTATGCAGGCACTGAGCTTTTCTAGCTGATCTGTCTGATTAGGCTTCATCGACAGATAAAGCTGTGTGTCATCTGCATAGCAGTGGAAATTAATTCCATGCTTTTTAATAATGTTTCCCAGTGGCAGCATGTAGAGAGTAAAAAGAATCGGTCCGAGTACCGAACCCTGCGGCACACCAAATTCCACTCCAGAATAAGGGACGAGTCCTGATTCACATTGACGAAGTGATATCGATCTGATAAATAGGATTTAAACCAGCCAAGGGCTGTTCCTCTAAGACCTATATCACATTCTAGCCTCTGCAGTAGAATGCTGTGGTCTATTGTGTCAAATGCAGCACTAAGGTCCAGTAGGACCAGCACTGACACTTGTCCATTATCGGCAGCTAGTAGTAAGTCATTTGTGACTTTGACTAGTGCCGTTTCAGTGCTATGATGAGCTCTGAATCCTGATTGAAAGACTTCAAACATATCATTTTCCTGCAGGTGGCAGCGGAGCTGCTCAGCTATAAGTTTTTCCAGGATTTTAGATATAAAAGTGAGGTTTGAGATCGGTCTGTAGTTTGTAAGTATTTCTGGGTCCAGGTTTGTTTTCTTCAGAAGGGGTTTGATTACCGCGGTTTTAAAAGCTTGTGGGACATAGCCACATTGTATGGATGCGTTTATTATATTTACGATAGGCTCAATTATCAAAGGAAGTATGTCTTTGAAGAGCCATGTCGGGACTGCGTCTAACATGCAAGTTGAGGCTTTTGAGGATGTGACCACAGAGATCACCTCTGCTTGGCTCACAGCCATGAATTTATTAAGGCCCACTGAAGAGTCTAAGTGGGAAGTCACGTATGCCGCTTCAACCTGTCCACCACTAACAGCAGGAGCAACCTCCTCCAGCTTGTCACGGATGGATGTAATTTTATTATTAAAGAAGTGGAGAAAGTCGACACTGCTCAGTGAGCTTGGAATTTTAGGCTCGATTGCGCTATGGCAGTTTGTGAGTTTAGCGACGGTGCCAAACAAAAATCTACTGTTGTTTTTATTTGCTTCTATTAAAGTTGAATAGTATTGAGTTCGAGCCCCGCGAAGGGCCTTCTTGTAGTTTCGGAGACCTGCTTTCCACTCCCTGTGGACAGGCTCCGAGTGGGAGTGGCGATATAGCCTCTCCAATTTTCTGACGTCCTGTTTTAAAGTGTGGAGTTGAACACTGTACCAGGGCGACGATGATCTAATCCTAATAGTTTTCTGTTTTAAAGGAGCTGCTGCATTTAATGCAGATTTTAAAGACTCCATAGTGTTGCCCACCGTTTGGTCAATGACTGAGGGACTGCAGCTGCTGTGAACAGGTTCACCTGCAGCAGTATTCAACATAGGCTGTATTAATTCTTTGAACCTTGTGATAGATTTATCATTTAAGGTTCTTTTCAT